CTCCCCACCCCCAATCAGCTGGCTGACCGGGGGGGGGGGACTTACCCTGAAAATGATGTGCAGTGACGTGTCTATGTCACTGCCTGTGTGATCTGCAAGTGACATCATTGCATCCGGGACGTGGGGGGCAACACTCTGGTATTTGGGCAAAAACTCTATGGTAGAAGCCAACTGACCATAGAGGTTTTTGCCCAAATACCAGAGCGTCGCCCGACATCCTAGACGTGATGACATCACTTCTGGGTCATGTCGGCAGTGACGTGGACACATTGCTGTACGTCAGAGGGGCCGCCCTGCTGCTCCCAGTAAGCCCCTCCTCCCCCACCGGTTGCCAGGAGGGACCGAGCAACCCCATATGGAAAGCATATAGAAGTGTCCATCTCCCCAAAGCTTATAACTGTATAAAACCCCAAATACCTATATTCCCTCTCATTAAACATCAGAGTTAATTCTAACACATGAGCCTACTGCTGTATTCTGATACCCTAAAACCGACCTTTTCCAATCTGGCTCTGGGCCCAGTGATAGGATAGAGGCCGCTGTGATCATTGTGGGGGACACATTTCATTTGCAGGTGGACAGAATGCTTTTAGTTTTGCTTGGTCTGCCATTGACATAGTTGGCCATGTCCGACTGTTGAAACGCTTGGAGAATAAGGGAATGGACCTGGCCCTCCCTCCCGTGCATGGGTTTGAATTGCGCCGCCATAAGGTTAAGGGGCCCCTCCAGGACCCCCCTCCCTGTCCTGTGTACCAGCCTGAGCCGCATTCCTTTCCCTGCACTTCTCCTCTCCTTATCTCTGACCTTGTAGGCTGCAGATGTAGTGTCTCCACATAATTCATCCGTGAGACTGGTTTCGGTTCCCAGCTTTTAGTATTAAGGGCCCAGGCGGGAGTCAGGCCGATTGGCCCGTAGTGCTTTTGAATCTACTATATCTCTCCCTGAGTCTAGGGGTTCGCCATTCCTAACAGTGACTATGCTCATGCTACCATTGTACTGGCAATAAAAGTATAACCTTTGAAAAAGGGTGTACTCCGTTGCTTGACTGTGGGTCCTGACAAATTATTGTTTTCAATTGTTCTTATGCTATGAGTTTCAAAAGCTTGTCTTAATGTTTTGCTTGTTTGCCCTCCTGAAAACCCTAAGCTTGGCTGGAAAGACAGCATAGACATTTTTTTGGAACACGATAAATGAAATGGGAGTATAAACATGGTTTCAAATCACTCTTATTTAACCAAAGTCAAGAGGGTCGTTGTTGGGGATTCAGAATCCGCTGTGTGAGATTGGACCGACGGAACTGTCTCGAGTTAGACTATCCCCCATGTATGAATGTAAGACCGCTGAATGAGGTCATCGATCCAAAGCTTTGGAGAGTGGAATGGCATCAATATGCTTCTTTAAATAAGCCCCCCAAAATGAGGTCAAACGGCTGAGAGAAAACAGGCTGAAACTGAAGCCTGAAAAGCAGAGCCATTGTTGCCCAGAAAGGCTTTTGTTCTGGAGGGAACTGAGTTGGCCTCTCTGGGTGGAATGAAGCTTTCTGTGACAGATTTGGTGACAACTGGCCTGATCTTCCTGGAGTTAGCCATTTTGTTAGGGAGGGGGGGGAAGAGAGACTGTTGTGGCCAAAAGCACTTCCCCCCCCCCCATTACATCAAGCATGCAAGTTGTCTCCCCTCTTGGACTCAGTGGACCTAGCCACAGCGATTCATGTTACAGTAACCCTGATATTGCAACATACTCTATATGGGAATGTGCTTGAAGACAACCTTGAAAGTGCAACTGGTTCAAAAGACAGCAGGCGCATACCACACAAACTAAATAACCCACTTTCAATGCACTTTGCAACTGGATTTTATTGTGTGAAATGGCGAAATCCACTTGCAAACTGTCGCTGAAGTGAATTAAACTGCGTTGTTTAGCATGTATGAAAGCACCCAGCATCTTGATTATTAACTGAGGCTAGCCACTTTATACAGTATACCAGGGATATAGCCAGGATTTTTTTTCCTTCGGGGAGCATTTGAATAAGTCAGGGCGGGGTCACCCTCCCACACCCCCTCATGAGCCAACCAGCCCTGGGATCTCCCTTGACTCACCTGGGAGGGAAGAGCTGATTGCTGCTTTGCACATGTGAAAACAAGAAAGGCCGATTCCCCACCTGCATACTCCGAGAGCCGGAAGGAAGTGGCCTTTCCACCCTGCTTTCCTCTCTAGGATTCTGGCCTCACTGGTCTTCCCTACTGTGGGGCTGAGACAACCAGGAGGCAGTGACAGACGGGTCTCCTTGCCAAGGTGCTCACCTGCTGCCACCGAGAAGGTGGTGGCAGCAGCAGCAGTGGCGGCACTCTCTGCCCAGCCCCTGGCCCAGCCACGTCCTACCCACAGGGCTACCTCTACCAACCGCTGGGCTTTGCTGTAGATAGCGTAGGGTGATGGCTTGGCAAGATTAAAAAAAAAGGGAGGCCTGGGCAGTAAGTCAGGGGGCCTGGCCCCGAGATGTCCCACTGTAGCTATGGGCCTGCAATATACTTATTCTGTCATCGTTTAGACTGGCTGCCTCATTGTCTTCAAGGACCATTCACGGTGCTGGCCTTACTTCTAAAACCCTTCATCAGGTGGGACCCTCCCCATAGCTAAAGGATCATGTCCTTCTATATATGCTGATGCGGCCGCTCTGCTCAAACCAGCAGGCTCTTTTGTCAGACTGGACCTGCAGATAGGAAAGATCTGTCACTCTTGATCCAACTTTTCCCCCCCTGTGGCAGCCTACAGGCCGTGGGATGGCCTTCCAGAGGCTTCCAAAGTCACCATTCTCAAATGCTTTTAGGAAAACGTACCAGCCTGGATTATTTAAGAGGGTAATGGAATGGTTTCCGAGACTGCTGTGTTTCTCTGTTTTCTGTTTTCGAGTGTTTACTGTTTTGGTATTTTATTTACTGGAGTTTTAATTATGTTGTTCATCACTGTGGGTCTTTTGTTAAGGAGAAAAGTAACGTAGAAACTTCTAGAACTGGAAGAAGTTGGATTTATACCCCACCTTCCACTACACAAAAGAGTCTCACTGCATCTTACAATCTCCTTTCCCTTCCTCTCCCCACAACAGACACCCTGTCAGGGAGGTGGGGCTGAGAGAGCTCTCTCAAGGACTGCCCTTGAGAGAACAGCTCTGAAAGAACTTATAACTGACCCAAGGTCACATCAGCAGCTGCATGTGGAAGAAGAAGAAGAGAAGAGATTGGATCTGTACCCCGCCCTTCACTCGAAGTCTCAGAGTGGCTTACAGATGCCTTTCTCTTCCCCTCCCCACAACAGACACCCTGTGAGGTAGGTGGGGCTGAGAGAGCTCTGAGAGAACTGTCCATGAGAGAGAACAGCTCTAACAGAACTATGGCTTGCCCAAAGTCATCCAGCAGCTTCAAGTGGAGGAGTGGGGAATCAAACTTGGTTCTCCCAGATTAGACTCCGCGCACTTAACCACTACGCCAAACTGGCTATTGGCTATTAAAAATAAATAAAACAACCATTTAAAAATGCTGAATAATTACGTCAGCTTTTCAGAAAGACGACTGTAGAGGTTCTAACGTTTATATCACTTTTACTGTCAGATTTAAATGGTTTCGGCAGTCCTTCTGCGAGGAATCCTGCGAGGAATCCTGCAATCTGGACGTTGTGGAATCCTGCAATCTGGACGTTGTGGAAGAGGCCAGGGACCCCCTGAGACAGAATTCTCAGCCACCCTTACCAAAAGTACAATTCCCAGAATTCTTTGGAAGAATACAAAAAACATACTAAAATGAACAGAAGGCTGCAATGCGGTTATAGCCTGTCAAAGTCACTCAGCACTTCAGAAGGCGTTCAGTCCATAAAATTTGACAGAGGAGAGACACAGAGAGCCTGTTGCCTCTAAAACTTACCCAGGCAACCCTCCGGCCTCCATGACATTAGCGAGAGTCACATCGTTTGACCAAACATCGTACTGCCATTTGCGAAGACCCAAGACGCCACACAGCACCCTCCCGGTGTGCAAGCCGACTCTCATATTGAGATCTACTTCCGTGGCTTCAGCGACTGACCTAAAATGTGGAGAAAAGAATACCGCCTGTTAGAAGGCAGGCTATCTGTATGATACTTCTACTCCTTTCCTCCAGAACTAAAAGTTTATTCGTACAATTAGGGTCAAAATACCTTAGCTGGTACAGTTACCTAACTACGTGAACTTTTTCTGTGGTCAATGTTCCTTCAGATTCCAGAGAAAGGTCTAGATTTCTTAAATCGACGTTTTTCCCCTTTCCTGACAGAATGTAAAATCGAACAAAATCCAGCGGAGAGCAAACGTGTGTTTGTGTTAAATGAAATGGTACAGGGGAAATGCTGGAAAGGTCATCATTTTCCCACTGATACCGTTCTTCTCAGTTGTGCCACCTGGACACGCGAAGCTACTTTATACTGGATCCGGCCACTGGTCCATCAAGGTAAGTATTATCTACTTGGACTGGCATTGGCTCTCCAGGACCTCAGGCGCTGGTCTTTCCCGTTATCTGCTACCTGGTTCTTTCACCTGGATCTGCCGGGGGATTGAACCTGGGATCTTTCGTGTGCCAAGCAGACGCTCTGCCACCGAGCCACAGATTCCTGATACAATTCTACTGCTGGAGCTACAGGTCCTGGAAGTTGCCTGGTTAGGGCTGGAGAGGCTGGAAAGGGGAAGACTATTAGTCCTGGTTCGGGGAAGAAATGGGCTGCTTCCAGATGGGTGTGAAAATGCACCTCCCCCCCCCCCGGGGCAACAGCAGCAAGTGACGTGGAAACAGCATCTACACTTGTGCCATTCCTGTTGCCACTGGCTGCTGCCCTTGCCCCAACTCCTCCCTCCTTCCCCCACCACACCTGTGCAAAAGTGCAGACACAACAGCTGGGCCCAGAGGGTGGCCTGGAAACCACCCCTTTCAGCATCTCTTTCTTTGCCAAGCTGTGCTGTAACCAGGGCTATTTTGGGGCAGGAACGCACAGGAACGGAGTTCCGGCTGGCTCCCGAGTTGGCCACGCCCAGCAGGGACTCGTTAGCATAATAGGCCACACCCAACAGCAGAAACTCATTAGGGTTGGCTACATTAGGGGTGTGTGGCCTAACATGCAAAGGAGTTCCTGCTACAAAAAAAGGCCCTGGGTTTTGACCACAAACAAGGTAAACAGAATAACAAGCAAAAGGTGGGTGTGGCTGGATGACCACACTTCTGGTAATGTGGGGTGTGGCCTAATAGGCTAATGAGCTATGCTGTCAGGGGTGTGGCTGGATATGCTAATGAGTTCCTACTGTTGGGTGTGGCCTATTATGCTAATGAGTTCCCACTGGACTTTTTCTACAAAAAGAGCCCTGGCTGTAACACTACACAGCAGCTTAGCAAAGAAAGGGGGGAAAGGCTTACGAAGAGATAAAAAGAGGAGAATAGTACATGGCATTGAACCGCAACGTTTTGGAAGTGGAAGTGGTCTACCTTTCTTCTCAGGGTGGCGATAGGTGGAGAGCCCAGATGGATAGTCCCCCAACAGCCGCTCTGCATTTCCCTCCTTGAACTCAAAGGGAGAACCCCAGGAACACCATGACTAAGGAATGAGCAAGCCACCGTGTTAGCCTCCCCATTTACATACTCCTACTCCCAGTTTCCTGCCCTGAGGAACTGAGTAGCGGGAGAACAAAAATGCCCTCCACATGGTGGAGCTCAAGGAATTTCCCCTAGTCTCTATGGTAAAGGCCACAGAGACTAGGGGAGGCAGCCTAGGCTGTCACCTGGAATCATATCATCCCCCAAACTCTGCCATTCCCAAGAACTGTTCCTCAAATCTCCTAGAATTTAATGAGGCATAGTTGGGAGCCCTACATTAGGTGGATGTTCCTCTTATATCTGGGGGTGTTCTGCATTCCATGCAGGGGAAAATCCCCATTCGCAAGCTGGCTTGTATTGTGAGCTAAGATTAGCTCAGTCCAGCAGCTGAGACAATCTAAAGCGGGAAGGCAGAGCCATCAAGCTGGACAGCCCACAGAGATCATCATATTAAAGGATTCAAAGCTGTTTTTATGATAGTTTTGAAAGGTCTCCCATACAGCAATCCCCTGGAATACTCTGAAGCTTCTGGCTCTATTTACTGCCTGGAGCCTTAAAAATAAGCTTTGCACGGTGCTGTCTGAGCCGTGATTAGCGTCCAGGACGTGGACCAAAAGTAAGGAAATATTTTTTGATTGTGATGAGATTTGCCCAGCGGTGCAATGAAAGACTCCAAACAAAATCTTGATGGAAAAGAAACCGAGAATCGAGACAGTTCAGTTCGGCTCCAAAGACAATGTCCATAACCCCAGTTTCTCCAGGATTAAATTACAAGCGATATTTATACCACTGCTACAATCCCTCCCCCTGATTTCCCCTGCTTAGAGATGTGAAGACCCAGAAAAATAACACAGAAATTGGGGGGGGGGACAGTTCCCCCAATTTTTTCCTAAGGCCCTTGTTTCAATTTCTCTAATGGAAAAAAATCAGAAATGGGAGTGCTGAAAATAACTCCTATGGGATATTTTTCTCTTTGAGAATAAAAAGAACACATTTTTAAAGACAAGGTGAGCATGCTGCAGACATAGATAGCCCTGAAATCCAAGATGCATTTCTGCACCTTAGGAAGAGGATACCTGATCTTCACGAGGGGTAAAAGCTGAGCTTTCATTGCTTTTCAGCTCTTGCATAGCTTCTGTTGATATTTGGCCCTGACTTCCCTTGGGGTTGATCATTTCATTGTGACATAACCACAGACTGGGTAACCAGCAGCTTATTGCCCTATCTTTCTGGAGGGGGAAAAGGAGCAGGAAAGTTCCATCGAGAACTGAGCTCTGTGTAACCAGTAACCACAGAAGGAAGACAGCATCTTGCTGGAACTACATCCAGGTGTAGATATTATTATTGAAAGCTAAGAGTTTCAATTTATTGTAAATCCAATATAAAAATGTACTCAGTTAAAAAAAAAATGTAGGCTCCGGCCCCACGTGCCGGAAAACGCGCGCGCGAGGGGGGGGGGGCGTGGCTATTTGCGCCATCGCATTCTGACCTGCTATTATGCAATCAAATGCGCCGGCGGCGCTCCGGGGTTTCGTCCTTCGGCACACGCTGCAAAGAGGATGGCCGGAGGGAATAGGCGCCTGTCGGCACGATCACACCGAACGAGTCCATCTGCAACCCGTGGCAAACCATTTGCTAGTAGATCCTTGCAGGTACTTTTTAACTGCGCGTCTTCGGCAGCACGCCACGGGTTGGCCATGGGTGTGCTACGCTTGCCAGATGCTGCAGTGTGATCTCGCCCCGAAAATCTGCCCAGCGTTCATGCCTTTCGCGTGGCAAATTCTCCATGTGACCGGGGCCGTAGTTTAATCGTTTAATGTAGTTTAATAATCAGAAAACGTGGGGAGAGCTGCCCCATAGTATTGCCAAATGTTGGACATGACTGAATGGCTAACAACAACAGCAACAACAGTTCAATAATCTATTTCATGTTATTTACCAGAATGTTTGTATTTTCTATTTAACTCCTATTTTTATTCTTTATAGGTAGCAAGAATTAAGCTACCTGTGCTGGAGTAGCACTGGGTGCATCAGCTTCTAGTTTTCTCTCGCACATTGGGTATACTTGCAATTTTGCTTGCAGAAAACGAAGGCGTTTATAATTTTTAAATTCCATACACATCAAACATTGCACTTTTATGTGCTAAATTAGAACTGATGCATCTCATATTGTGAAAGCAGTAAAATTACTTTAGGTTTGACTGGACACATAGGTCAGTCCCCCGCCCCCAGTCTGTTTTTTCTCTCCAGGAAAAAAAAAACAAATACATTTTTTAAAAAATTTTGTTACCGTCAAAATTTCTGGAAATTTTACATCTCCACCCCTGCTGTTTTCAACACCACAGAAAGCAGTGGTGTTGACATAACCAGGGCTATTTTTGGGCAGGAACGCACAGGAACAGAGTTCCGGCTGGCTTCAGAGTTGGCCATGCCCACTACAGGCCTTCCCTCTGCATGCGTAGCTACAGAGGGAAGGCCTGGAGAACAACACACACCCCCCGGGTCTTGGGGGGGGGGGGGGGGGGCTGGAAGGATTGGAGAGACATTTAAATGCCTCCCCTGGCCTGTCCAAAGGCTGGCTTGCCTGGGCAAGCCAAGGGAAGGCATGGGGGTGTGGCCTAATATGTTGTCAGCTGTGCTGTCAGAGGGTGTGTCCTAATATGCTAATGAGTTTCTGCTGTTGGGTGTGGCCTATTATGCTAATGAGTTCCTGCTGGGCTTTTTCTACAAAAAAGGCCCTGCATAAAGCTTTCTATCTCTCTAAAAGAAAACGCTGAGCGAATTAATCCATGCTTTTGTGAAACAAGTATAGTTACTATATGGCCATAAATTCAGCTAATGTGTGTCAGGGAAGGAAGAGAGAGAGAGAAAAACAGAGCATTCCCTCCTAGCCACATGAGGCAAGTGATGTGGGTCAGGTTGGGAGTGGGTCTGCCAGGTCCCCCCGGCCAATGGTGGGGGCTGGGGTGGCCAGATCCAGGGTGAGAGAATCTCCTGGAGATTTGGGGATGGAGCCTGGGGAGGACAGAGACCTCAGCAGGGTAAAAAGGTAAAGGTAAAGGTTCCCTTGCTCGAAAGCCAGTCGAATCTGACTCTAGGGTTGCGGTGCTCATCTCCGTTTCAAAGCCGAAGAGCCAGCGCTGTCCGAAGACGTTTCCGTGGTCATGTGGCCGGCATGACTAAACACCAAGGCGCACGGAACACTGTTACCTTCCCACTGAAGCGGTACCTATTTATCTACATGCAATTTCTTGCTTTCGAACTGCTAGGTTGGCAGGAACTAGAACTAGAGATGGGAGCTCACTCCGTCTTGCGGCACCCGGGTCTCGAACTGCTGAACTACCGACCTTCCACAGCCGGCAGCCTGCAGTTCAGCATCTAAAATGAAGTCCACCCTCCAAAGCATCCATTTTCTCCAGGGGAAGTGATCTCTGTACTCTGGAGATGAGCTGTAATTCTGAGGGATCCCC